CCTCTCTAAGCGGAAGAAAGCAAAATTCAGAAGTGAATTCACAAACGAAATCACCACCATACGAGCAACGTCGGGCGATCCCTTGTTCTTGAGAAAGCACTGCACGAATCACGCAAGGCCAGGCTCATAGTTGTCCTCGACCATCTTCCAAAGAAAGAATGATCCCCAATCCTTCCAATCATTTCCCGCCTCATGAAAAGAAATCCTCAAGGGAAAGAACGATCCTATCACGAGAAGAGCGTGTTGGCTGGCACTAATGTCAACACATTCACAAGTTGTTGCAAATCCCCTTTTACCTCAACACGGTGACCATGCTCTCTTCCAAAACCCATCGTCGTCGACCCATCAACTCAACGCAGGCCTGTAGAGCCCCTGGACGCGTTCCAAGAAGCTTTTCCAGCACACTTGGCTAGTGCAGAGATACGCAGTGTCACTTGATACAGGCTGGGACTTGAACCCAAAGAGATGATGATGATGCCCCCAAGTTGCATTGCCTGACCAAAGAAACCTATTCAATTCATTATTAGCACACACGTACAATAAAAATGCCCCTTTTCAATAGTTTGTTTCATTGTACTTGCCTTTTCCATATACACAAAGACCCATTGTTGTTGCCGTTCTGAAAACCATGGTGTAGTATAGTTGAGTCAAAACAAAATGCCAAACGAGCCTCCACGTCTTGAGATCTCAAACTTGCCCTCTATACAAGCTAACACGTCAATGGGACCAGTTCGGCTGCAACATTGACTCTGAATGTACCTGTTGACACCAAGCATAGAGCGGGAATAGCAACGAACAAGAGGAAGCAACGATATCGCCATGGCAACAACCAACCACCCACTACGCCCCATTCCTCAGCATTTGGACACTCCTCCCCTGATAATGCATGTTCATTCAATACCTCACAGCCAACAAGAGCACCTTCTATAATACATTACCTTGATCGAGATGTCGTGAATACAAAAGCAAAGGAGTGAGAAAGAGAATAGAAGTGTTGTCTGCGGTGGAGCTACCGTCCCCCAAAGTTTAAATCCCCTACTGCTATTACACTGAGGCCACTCAATTGACTTATACACACCATCCACCCAAACACACAACTCACCCATCATCATCAGCAGCATTCTCACGATAGACAATAGGCACGCGTAAATAAAATAAATGATCCTCACGTATAGCAAAAGGGTGTCATTTTACACTTTTCATGATAAATACTGAGCCTAATAACACCCATTGTTGCCATACTACCATGTCACCTCGAGTCAAGAAAGTTCGATGATGGGAATGATGGGCTGGAGCAGGACAATCGCTTGTATGTATTGTATTGGACAACAAAGGTGAATGGGAGGAATGGGCTATTAGCTGGCAGTTTACAAATAACTTCTTGCAAATGATGTTTTGTGTTTTGAGCGTAACTCAACGAAATCCTCTCGGATCAAGAAAGTTCAATGATGGGAATGATGGGCTGGATCAGGAGAAAGGAATCGTTCACATGCATTGGATTGGGAAACAAAGACGATTGGGAGGAATGAAGGTGAAGTGGCAGTTTACAAATAACTAATCAATTTGATCTTTCTGAAATTGGATGATACTTCTGTGTTTGAGAGTTACTCAGTCAAATCCCATCGGATCAAGAAAGTTGAATGATGGGCATGTTGGGCTGAGCAGGGCAATTGTTCACATGCATTGGTTAAAGCAACAGGTGCTGCTATAGCTGGCAGTTTGTGGATTAGATATACTGATGTTGGACTGGTATGTTCGCCCTGAAGTTGCCTCAAGAGCCGCTTGTAGTCTCTCATTGTAAATATGGGTAAAGCAAGAGGCCTGATGTGGGTGAACGTGTAGAAGTAATAAGCTTTTTATTTTGCATGATCATTACTAATACTGTAGGTATCGTTAATCCATTCAATGAGGAATCAAAAGTTTATGAGCGAAGCGATTAGCAATACGTAACTGAACGAAGTACATCG